GATTTTTTTCATTTTATTAATTTCCCTGTCTTGGACAGGGAAATTAAAACCAGAAATCTCACAGTGCCACCATCAGAGGTTTCCAACACGTAAACAGGCTAACAGGTGAGCTACCTAATTTAAGCAGCTGTTTGGGGGCAATTACACTTCAAATGTGCAAAAGGAAAAATTCAACTCAGAGTGTACAAAGGGGTCCAGGGATGACATGTGTTTCTTGGAGTCGGTGGAATCAACATATTTGATTGACTGACCAACCAATAAGTACCAATAAGTTACCTAATGTAGACATTCACATACTAACCTTTCTTTCTGAGTTTTGTAGGTGATAGATGAAGTTGTTGTGGTCGTGTTGCTAATTTCTGTGCTACAGACTTTGCATACAGCTATTCTCTTCCATCATCGACAACATAATCCTTGATTCCAAACATTATTTTTTGGACTGACCCCTCCATAGCTGCATCCTGCGACCTGCATTGCCTTTTGCTGGTCTGCTGTGTTCTGGTAGGTTGCCAGGCTTCCACACATTGCATTAGAAATCATCTAGTTTTGTTTCAAAAACAAAATGTAAGTTCTCAATATCTAGAAAAATGCAGATACTTAATTTAAACAGTCAAGTAATTTTGAGCCATCTGTTTCAAGTCTAAGTCAAGTCTCAAGTCATGAATTCTAAGTGAAAGTCAAGTCGAGTCTTTTATTTCCTTATTTTGTTATGTCGACCATACACCTAACAACTTCTCAAGTAATTTTGTGTTGCAGACAAATTTCCAAAGCTGAAATAAAATCACGAGAGCCTTTCTACAGTTGTGTCATGCTCCTGTCATCTCAGTCGTTTGGTGTTTAAAGCCTTTTTCTCGTCTTGACGTTCCGATACACTCAAAGATGTTTAATATTACGTCCTTAGTCCTGGCTGATGCCGACAGCGATGTGAACACAGTAAACATCCATTGGGTGAGCACCAAACAGGAAGCAGCATAGCAGGCACTGAAACAGCAGTAAATACATAATACATCTATGAGTAAATATGACAGAGACTCAGGTGACTCTGTGCCTTGAAAGGCATTATTCTGTTAAACTGTTAAAAAGGAAGAGAACCTGGTGGAATTGTGGAGTGAGCAAGAGTGTCTGTCGTATTATCCGATCTTTATCACGACAGAGTGAAGAAAGAGAAAAAGTGGACAGACCTCGCTGTCCACTTTCAGCCAAACAGGGTCGTGTTCCTTGTTTTTTTCCAAGCAAAACACAAGTGCAGCTGTAGCACAGGAGCATATGGGAAGTTGTCTCCAGAGAAATCATGTGGCGTCCTTGCAAATAGTGACCCTGCAAGATAACCAGTGTTTGCAAAGTCATAGTTAATGACTAAAAACTGTGACTAATGACACACTGTCTTTAGATATGAGAGGGTGTCAGACTCTAGTCTTATCAAAGTCTGCTAGTGTAAGGCCAGCTTCAGTCAAACAAGCCTCAAGTCCTTAAATGTGCGACTTAAGTCTGACTTGAGTCAATCGTGTGAGCCCCACCTCTGCTATTAATCATAAAAATAATGGACAAAACAACAATAATTTAAATCTTGGAAACCAAACTGATCTTTTTAAGAATCTGAACATTGGACAGAAAAAAAATCAATAATGGAACAGTAATAAAAGTAGTTTATGCAGTGCATTGTTTTTAATGACTTGGAGAAATTCTAGATGATCAGCAGAATAATCAGGAGCTTGTTTACGTCTTCATTTTTATAGTCACTGTCGTTTAATGATAGCCTATTCTGAAACAAAACAACTGTAGACAAAGTGAGAGACGTAAACAGATATTAACATGACCACAGCCTGGGTGGTCAGGCATGTATACACACACACACACACACACACACACACACACACACAGGTTCGGTCCTTCTAAAGTTGTGGGCACACTCATTTAAAAAATGCATTCCCTGGCTCATCATCTGAAATGCCTACCTCCAACCCTAACATCTAACCTGAAATCTAAAACCAAATCCTAACCCTCAGAAAGCCTTTTGACAGTGCTAAAATGACCAGCTAAAATGTCCTCACATTGCTGGCATAGGACAAAAATTTGTTCACACAATTTAATAAAGACACACACACACACACTCTCTCTCGATGGGAGCTGTGAGTTTCATCTGCCCAGCTGCCATCCTGTGAATTGGTTGTGAACCAAGAGGCCAAGCAATTTACTCCTCACAAAGGCCATTTCACACCACTGAGCAGTCTGTGTGATGGAAGTGACATGGGGTGTGAGGGGAGGAATAGATGGAATATGTGTGGGATGTGTGCTGTAGTGGAAAGATGTGCAAGGCTCGGCAGATAATGGAGATACAGGGGGAGAGAACACTGGAAGGAAAAGACTAAATGAAAGAAGGATGCTGGGAATTGGACTGGATGGGAGGAAAGAAGTAAGGCCACAAGGAGGTGTAGAGATGTGGACAGACTGTTTATGACAGAGAGATCCAGGTGTAGGGGACAGGGACGTGTTGAGCTCTTCTGACTAGGGCTGAGTAGTGGCAACAATCTGGTGATACAATATGTAATTCGAAACAGGGGTTACGATTCGATATATTGCGATAAAGAAATATATAGTTAAGTTTTAATTCTAATTTTAGAAAAACTGTCATAAAATAAAATAAAATAACACAGCAAATCACAATTAAATCTGTACTATTAAATATCAGACCTCTCTCGTCCAAATCTCTCTTAGTGAATGATTTCATAATCGAAAATCACAATCATTTCATAAGTGGCAGTGATCTTTGACTCAAGTCTATTAATCAACCCTAGACCTAAACATAGTTATAAATCATTTGAAAGCCTCATCCTGAGTCTCTCACACCCAAATTGGAAAACTCAAAAGCCTGTTCTATTTGTTATTGTACCGTCCACCTGCTCCTTCTTCAGAGTTTTTAAGTGAATTCTCAGACTTTCCATCTGATTTAGTGCTTAGTACAGATAAAATAATCATAGTAGGCGACTTTAATATTCATGTAGATGCCGACAATGACAGCCTCAACAATGCATTTTGTTCATTATTAGACTCAGTTGGCTTCTCTCAAATTGTAAATAAACCCACTCACTGTTTTAATCACACTCTTGATCTTGTTCTGACATATGGCATCAAAACTGAACACTTAATAGTTTTTCCCCAAAACCCTCTTCTGTCTGACCATTTTCTAATAACTTTTGAATTTACATTAATGGATTATACTCTATGTGGGAAACAATTCCACTACAGTAGATGTCTATCCGACAATGCTGTTACCAAGTTTAAGGAAATAATTTAATCATTATTT